AAACTAAATTATGTTACCTTTATTCTGTCTCGAGATACACCCCTGGACTGCCAGACAGAGATACAATAGAGCAAGGCTGGGGATTTGAAAGAGCTTGGAAGAGGGGACAAATAGGCTACCTTATTTCTATAGCAACTGGTTCCTGGAAGCAACATTGCAAAACACAGTGAAATATCAACCCCCTTCTTCCACCTCTTCTTCCAATGTCAAGGCCAATCTGAGAGCAGCTGGATTTGCTGTGGGCCTGTGAACACTGAGGAAAGAGAGCCTTAAATTAAAATGATGAGTTCTGAGATGGGAAGAGAACAAAGGTGGCCCTTTAGCCTGACTGCGTGAGGATAGCAGTGAGTCATGAGCCAAGAGAACAGAATGGATGGAGGCAGAGAGAGAGCAGAACGTCCTGCGCTTTATCAGCACAGATTTCCCTGAGGCTTCTCTGAGGTGGATGTAACCTGATGCCTGGTGTTCCAAAGACTGTGTGGGCAAAACAATAAAGCAATGCCTGAGGAGAAGGCCCAGCACAGGCTGCTTACTACCAGATGTGTGGTCCCCCATCTACAGACTGCTCACCAGAGAATGTGTGATCCCCCATCCACAGGCTGCTCACCAGAGGGTGTGTGATCTCCGATCCACAAGCTGATCACCAGCAGAGGGTGTATGGTCCCCCAACCACAGGCTACTCACCACCAGAGGGTGTGTGATCCCACATCCAGTCTCTCTCCAGGAGACCCAACTCTATGGGGATGGGTGACTATCTTGTCAATCATATATAATAAAAGTGTGTTTATATGACACAGTATGAAGAAGACCAGAGGAACTCCTGGGACACACAGAATCAATTCAGTACATGCCACATTAAAGGATCCCACAGATCATTAGAACACACTTTTTGTTTTTATTCTATTTTTGTTCCTGAGGTTTCATGTAGCCTCAAACTCACTGTGAGTGGGAGAATGGCCCCAAACTCATGCCTCTACTTCTGAGTGCTAGGATTGCAGGCATGCACCACTAAAATCCACTGTAACTTGTATTTTAAAGGTATAGTTCCAAAAGCCTGCTGTCTGGTTCTTCATTTCTAGAATGAGCCAGTGAACTGATGTCAGGGAATGGTCTGGACCACAGCAATGCCGTTTGGCAAAGCAGAAGTTGGCAGATTAGGGACTTACCCACAACATCTGTTATAGGGTGTGATCTGACTGTTTTATTTCTGATTGCCCAGATTTTAAGTGACTGTGAAATCAACTTAATGGGTGGAACCAGACTTTTTGTTAGTGCTGAGGTAATTAATGTGTTGTCTGATACTTCCCTTTCTGAATTTCCTTTGTGTGGGGGGAGCTTAGGCAGAAACTGCCATCCTCAATGCTCACCCTTGGTATTGCTTCCCGTAGAGAGCCTTTCCTGACTACTCATTGTAAACAGCCTCCCAACACACTCACACACGTGTACACTCACAAACACACACACACACTATACACATACCACACCTACATGCATGCACACACACACACTATACACACACCACCCTTACATGAATGCACATACACAAACACACACACACACACACACACACCACTCTGTTTTTATAACAAAATTAACTGAAATGTTATTTCCCTTCACCCACCCAAGTAAAATTTCTCTGAATTGTGGTGGTTCTACTCCAAAAACCACCAGTCCATTTTCTGCTGAACTTGGAGATTCTGGCATCCCCTACCCACTCCAAACAGCAATAGTGTCAGCAAAGGCCTTGGTCCTTCTTTACAAACCTTGGCTTGCCCTCCCCACTCAGAGCTTCCATCTTGTTGCTTAACAGAAATGGTTGTCATGAGCTCCAGAAACCCACCTCAGTCAACAGAGTCATTTACACCGATTCCCCTTTAAAACTTTTACAATTTGGTTTGTTATCATTTTATTTCCATGAAATTGTATGTCCATGTAATTATTTTCATCATGAAGAACTATGCTGTGGAATAATATTAAACCATGTTAAGATGTGTGACATTTGTTCATGCTGCCTTTGTTTAATTATGTAAAGATGTGTTGCATTTGTTTCACCTTGCCTGCCTGAGGCGCCTGATTGGTCTAATAAGAGCTGAACAGCCAATGGCTAGGCAGAAAGCAGGATAGGCGGGGCAGAGGGCATAAGGAGCAGAAACCTAGGCACAGAAGAAAGAGAGAAAGAGAGAGAGAGCGAGAAGAGAGGATGAGGGAGAAGTAGAGGCCTGGGGCCAGAATTCAGGGAGCTGCCAGGCAGACAAGAGAAGCAGTGAAAGGAAGCAATACTGAAAGGCAGTAAAAAGCCCTGAGGCAAAATGTAGATAAAGAGAAACAGATTAAAATAAGAGCTAAACTAAGACTGAGTGTTCACAACTAAGAATAAGTCTCGGTGTCATGACTTGGGAACTGAGTGGTGGTCTAAAGGAAAAGGCCTGGCACAGAACTGAATACAGCTTTCCCCCTGCTGAACTGTTGAGAACATGCAGTGGAGAGTCTTTTGAAGCTAACTTTTTTTTTTTAACCAACATAACTCCCTTGACAGGTGTCCACATTTCGGGTTTATGTACAGTTACTCCTTTTCTTGCTGACTCATATCCTATTGTGTGACAGAACCACATTCACTTTAGCTAAGCATCCTTGGAAAACAGTCATTTCCAGTTTGGGTGATTGTGAGTAGAGCCACTGCAAACACTCAGGTCGTTTCTGTATGCACTTATTTCCCCTATATAGAATAAATATCTCGGAGTCAGCTCATACCACACACACCATTTTACATTCCTCTCAGCACTGTGAGAATTCCAGGAGCTTCACATATTCCCTAGCTCTTACTATTACCAGGTTTTTTTTAAAGTATTTAGCAGCCAGGCAGTCATGGTACACGCTTTTAATCCCAGCACTTGGGAGACAGAGGCAGACAGCTTCCTGAGTTCGAGACCAACCTGGTCTACAGAGTGAGTTCCAGGACAGCCAGGGTCACACAGAGAAACTCTGCCTCAAAATTAATTAATTAATTAATTAAGCCACTAGAATGAATTTGCAACAGTGTGTCTCCCAAAAGGAAGGAGACTGCTTGTGAAACTACTGAGGATCACAGCTCTCAAAAGCTAGCAAACTACCTTGTGCTTCTAATCATAGGCCAGCTGGGAAAAGACCGCAGTGATAGCACCAAGGCAAGGAAGTCAGCTTTCAGAGACAATCCACATGTGGATGCTGCTAATTTATTTTTGTATATTTCCACCCCGTTGTAAGGCTGCCACGCTCGAATGTGTTTAAGAGATTATTTAAATACACTGACCCAAAACTCCTGAGTGTTTAATGTTCCTTCCTTCCCTTTCTTACTCTCTTACCTGACACATGTAGAAAAGCAGTAATGACCTTTTTTATTTTCTTAAAGTTGGTACTTAGTGACTAAAGGAGTGAGACACAAGCTGATACTTCAAGATTGCCCATAGATGTCCAAAATGGACAGTTTTTCCGTGCATTTTGTCATGCATGTGCAAGTATGTGTATGATTTGGAGGGCATATTTGGAGGCCAGAGGATGACACTGGGATGTCTTCAATCACCTTTCTACCTTACTTTTTGAGACAGGGTCTCTCACTGAACCCGGAGCCCCATGAGTCCCCAGAGTTATGCCGATCTCTGTCCCCCAGCACCAAGGTTGTACAATGGGCACTGCCTCACCTGGCTTTTGTGTGGGGGCTGGGATCCAAAGTCAGTCTTCACGCCAGCATAGCAAGCACTCTGCACACTGAACCATCTCCCTATCCCCCAAGCGCCTTACTTCAAAATGCCAACTGAGAATGGTTTCTGTATCTGAACATGTTTAGTTTTCCTCCTCCTTCCTCCTTTTCTGAGGATAACTAAGAGAAGAAAGCCAGATTCCTGAGCTAAAATAAGAGAAAGCTAAAAGCCAGTTGGTTTCTGGAAGAATACATGGAAGAGTGGACTGGGTTTAAGTGCCAGGGTGACTTTTAGAAGCCTCTGGTGAGCACACCTGGATGATCCAAAGCTGCCTTGGTTTCCCGCCTGCACCTAGCCTGGACTCTATTAGATTAGTTGAGCATACTCCCTCAAACAAACAAACAAACTTGACCCCACTGAGATTTTAATTTTCCCCCAGAAAGTATTTTTCCTTTGCCCTGAATGGATATGACCATTTTCCAGGCACTTTTTTTTTGCACATATCTGGAAAATAAATGAATATTCCTTAAGACCAACTCACAGCCGTTGCTTCTGGGCTGCTAAACTGATGTTCCCTGCCAAAGCATCGGTGACATAGAGTGCCACTTTGGCTTTCCTGCTTCCCTTCCTGTTTTCACAGTAACAGGAGTGGTTGTCTGGAAGAAATGAGGACCCCTGGCATTGCATGGCCCTACCACCTGTGTGAGAGGAACAGTGAGGCCCTGGCTGTGTCTGTGACACCATGTAACTTATCAAATAAACAGCAGAAAAATATTTCCACATAGCACATTGCAGAATTTTTTTCATCCAATCTATTTTACTGGACATCAGCTTCTCTTACTAATGAAGGGACATAAATCTTGCAAAGGAATGGATGGCGTGCTCAGAGAAGGGGTCAGCTTGCTGCCAAGAGGGGATAAGCATATCCTACATTTCCCAGGCAAAGCAGAAATATTAGGTCAGCATGATAAGACCTCGATCCAATCGTTCAAATTTGCAAGTTAATTCTTATTTTGCTTGGCTGATCACCAGGAATAATTAACTCTTTGTTGGTCTTTATAAATTCAATAATATAAAGACCATGGGTTTGCTCAAGAAAATTGGGTGTTGAAAAAGTATTAAATAAAAAATAAATTGGAAAAAATAATCAAACAGGCCAAAGTATGGAATGATCAAACACAATGTTTATGCTGCATTCTTTAGGGAGTAGAGTGCGGGTGTAAAGCAAAGCTGAAGGCGGGCACACACCACAGGGAGGTGTGAAGTGGCACACGTAGGGGCTGCGAGGACCACGCGCCTCAGTGTTTCGATGCAAGAGCGCATAAGAGTAGAAATACATGACCAATGAGACCTTGCTGTAACACGAAAAGGAACTTCACAGAATTATGGAAGTGAATTTTTATTGTTTAGGTAATGGTGTTTGGTAATAGATAATGATCAATAGAACTCTTTACATTTTAGTACATCAAAAGTAAAGGCTATACATCAGTTAATGCTGTGTGCATAGGATCTGTCCTGGTTATGACTGTGCACTGTATCAGCTATATACATACTAAGAATATATATGATAAAGTACAAAAACATAGGAAAAGGCTAAATAGGAAGTTATCCTTGGGTTCCAGTCATCACATAATATATACTCATTATCCCACAATCACGTCACGGCTGAAAACATACCAATTAACACACATGGTGGAGTATCGAGTTGATCTAGCACAGCCCAAGTGTGAAAATATTAAGGGTGTGGTAACATTTCACAGGTAAAGGCTAATTTCTGGGGCATGAACTCTGTTGATTAATCCACAAAACATACCCAAGGCGGCGTCTTTTGTTTTGGGGCGGGGGGGGGGGAGAATGTTCTGATGAAGTCTGAGCTCTAATACACAAATGAGGCATTTAACAAAAACACACTTTTGCTGTGCTGAGCTGAAGTGGACATTCTGACTTATGTGGGGATCAGCAAATGAAGCCGTCTGTGGCAGAAATAAAATCGGACTTTCTGATGAAGCCAGGAATCTATCTCGATAGCCTCCAGATTTGGGAATTATTACTTGTTTCTGGTTTGCAACCTCCTTCCTTTCACTGAGTTCTAAGTATATTCGACAAAGTGCTCTCTCTCTCTCTTTCTCTCTCTCTCAGGCACACACACACACACACACACACACACACACACACACACACGCACACACGCGCGCGCGCACAAACACTGCCTCTTTCCCGTTCACTGAGAGCCTTAGATGGAAACGGTGCCTACATTCACAAAACAAACATCTGGGGCTGGCTAATGTAATGAGGGGTCCAGAGTGGTACAGGACGACTTTCACCATTAGGAATTTCTCAGAGTAAAGAGGCCACGGGGGCCCAAATCACTGTCCCAGCCCTGCTGAGGCACATGTTTTTAAGATATCTAAAAAAATGTTTGATAGACCTGACTTTTGTAGTTGAAATTAAGGCCTTTAAAATATTGACACAATCTGTGTTCCAAATTCAAGGGGTTCTGTTATGAAAATTTTTGAATAAAGTTTACATTATCATAGTTCAGTTTCCAACTACAAAATAGGGCAGGTAGAGGAGGACTAGGGCGATTCTAGAGATACCCTTGAAATTTAAGGACTGCCACTCCAAACATTTTTTCCTCAATGTTCATGCTTCAAATTTTACAGTTCAGTAAATTACCTTGGAGCGAATGGGAGCCGTTTACACATCTTTCCTCGTACCCATTCTTTCTCTGTCTTGCAGCTCTGACGGTCTCCACACACTCCTTCCTTTGTCGTTTTGATTTGAAAATTCTAAAAAGCCCAAGGAAACCAAGCAAGCAGCATGCTCTCTGGAGGGCTGCAGGCTTCTTTTGTTACCTCTAATTGCAGTGAAAACGGAAATGGGAACCCCCCCATCGGCCCTGGGCCTCCTTTCCCATTCTTCTAGCCCTTCCTGAGGTTTTTCCGACTTGTTTACATAATCCAAAACCTTAGATTTCTTCTTTCCCAACTACCAAAAATTAACTGCTCATAGTGTACCATCTTAAATAAAAGGATTAATTTTAGCTATCTTTACCGGCTCACAATGCAATCACTAAACAGCCTCTAAAGACAAAACAAACAAAATCACAGACCTTAACACTCAATTTAAAAAACATAACAATAATAATAACATTTAAAGAGAAACTTCTCAGTTGTCGATTATAAAGAACATCTAGAAATTTCACGCCCCCCCCCTTTTTCAGCATTTGTCCTCAGACAAAGGTTAGGTGTCTCACCTTCGAAGAAATAATGACCGTATTTCCTCTAGCTTCAACTGAAATGAAATAATCAAGGTGGATTTTAAGCTCATTTAAAATTGAAGTATGTCAAGAGTTTGGAATCTTAACAAATTAATGGGGCCAATCCCAAAAGAAGCGTCTGTATTATAACAATTACCAGATAAGAATGTAGTTCGCTAATTTAGTTGTCCCTTGTCTGAACCCTGAATGAGAAAAAAAATCTTTCTGTTACTTGGTTTCCTGAGTCAAAACAGATTGATTTAGTCAAGCTCATTCCCTGACCTTGGACAGATTTCAACTGATTATACTTTTTTGGTTTATAATATGACATAAGAAATATGCTATGCAAATATTTTTCTGATCAAATTGTATTCATATGATGTTTATGAATTACTACATAACAAATTTATAGGTATTGAATACATTAGGGATTTTCTGTTGTTGTTGTTGTTGTTGTTGTTGTTGTTGTTGTTGTTGTCGTTGTTTGTTTTTATTTATGAGACTTACTTCTGAGACCAGTTTCTTACAGCCTCATATTTGACAGCTTAAGCTGGCCTGGCATATCTTTTTTTCTCTTCCCAACTGGAACAGTTCACTTTAGCAGCCAAATGGCATGCAACTTTAACTTTTTTTTTTACCATCTAAACAATTTACCTTTAAGTTAATTAATCTGCTACACTTTTTAAATTACCTACGAATTTCTTTTTGAGTAACTGACTTTATGGTCCATCCTAAAGTGGCAGGAACATCTTCAAGCAAAAAGCAAACTTCAGCCAGGGCTACTACAAAGGAATTAAAGTATTTTCTCAAGTAAGTTGGTTCTTGATGGAGAATTTCCGGTCTTCACAATTTTTCGTTGAAATCACTTGTCTTTGAATTTTGAGTATATCCTAACCCTTTGTTTAGTGTAGGTTCTGAAGATGAAAATTTCTGCACATAGAGGTTCCATTTCAAATCCACCTACAAAGGCAGAATTACTGAAATACTTTGTTAGGTACTTGTGCACATCTATTGATATATGTGCATATGTTTAATTGCAAAAAAAAATTGATAGACCCTTTTACTCTGACTCAAAAGTACTTCCAGGAAGGGCAGCATGAGCCCATGAGGAGCCAGGAATGGGTAAACATGCCTCACCTTCAGGCCACTTCGTCTCTGCTCACTTAGAGAAGTGATACCAAAAATGGAGCTGGGAAAAAAAAATAATAAATAAAACAAAACCTGTATTCCCCTCCCCAGGTAATGAGTCAGATGTACTTGTCACATCTCTGCTACCCCTGGCTTCTCACTGGCGAGCCTCCTCAGTTTGCAGCTTTTGAACAGCGCTATCAAGGAGTTCCATGGACTCTCTGAGAGACACGTGGATTTTAAATGACTTGGGTTTAATGGTCAGGCCGTAATTGAAACTCAGGTTTGAGGGCTCGCTTTGATTAGCCTTGAAGTCGCACTGGTGAGCAAGGATGGAGATGAAGAGAAACAGCAGCATCTTAGAGAGCTCTTCGCCGATGCACCGCCGTTTGCCCACCGAAAAAATCATCACACTGTTGGCTAGTTCCTTGTTGATGAAGCCGTCCTTGTCCAGGAATCGGGCTGGATTGAAGTCCTCTGGGTTGGGCCACTTGGCTGGGTCATGATTCACAGACCACTGGTTAACAAAAACCACCGTGTTCTTGGGGATGTAGTAGCCTAAGACAAAGGTGTTGGCAGTGGTGGCGTGAGGAATGGTGACAGGCAAGAAGCTGGTGAATCGCATCGATTCATAAAGAAAAGCCATGACGTAAGGCAGGTTGGGCTGGTCATCCATGCAGGGCAGACGATCCCTACCGACAACCTGGTCCAGCTCAGCCTGCACCCGGGCCTGCACATCAGGGTATCTGTTTGGATTTCAGTATGAAAAAGGGAGAGAGAGAGAGAGAGAGAGAGAGAGAGAGAGAGAGAGAGAGAGAGAGCAAAATGAGTTTAATTTACCTTTCACCTACAGCACACCGCAATTCTACTCTAATTCCACAAACTATCTAGGTCTGTGACTGAATTACAATTTCTGAAAGAAATTAAAAAAAAAGGCTAATTTTGCTTGCTCAATATTGCAAGTTAAACAACAACAATCTTATTTTTTCTGTAATAACCTTCTTATGGCCTAGGATTTATTTCCCATTGTGGGAAAATAAAACCCTTAAGTTTTTTACAGTCTTAAAACGCACGCTAGTGGCCAGACCTACTTATGTCCTGGCTGGGTACAGCGCCTAGGCCCACAATACATTTTAGACACCAGGAAAATATCTGTCTCTCTTGTAAACAAATGGACTTATGAGTAGAAGTCCACATAACACACTTTTCACATATTCATTTTATACCAATGTAGTCATAAGGTAATTTTCAGTGTGTTTATAGAGAAGTCTACAAAGGCGAAAGGACCCCCACACACACACAAAAGTTAAAATGCTGCCCTGAAAGCAGACTCTTTTCCTTCCCTTAGATCTTGAGGCAATTCATTGTTTTTTTTTTTATGAAAACATGTGCAGTTTATTTAATAGTTAAAGGCACTAAGGCATATAAAATTAAATTGAAAATTTCACACGTAGCTGTTTCTTTTTTAATTTTAATTAATTCTTTTTTACTTTATTTTGTATTGTTTTTATTAAGCTATATATTTTCTCTGTCCCCCATCCTTCCTCCTCCCTCCCCATAATTCCTATGTTATGAAGCATTATTGGTCTCCTGACAGATAAAGCTACATATTTCTTCAATTTAAAGAGCAGGGCCCCAGTTTTTCAGATGGGGGTACACGTTTTAATTCTGCATTGTAGCTGATAGAAACTGGGACAGTTTTTTTGGAAGACAAAGCACAGTAAACTCTATATAAGGCAACAATCCCTTGGTCCTTCATTTTTAAGCCCAATTATTTATCCCTAAGGGCCTCCTTTCAGAAAATAACTTATTGGTATAATGATATATAATCATAACAATACTTAAAACTTAAAATGCAGTCAAAACCAACAATTAATACTAAAGCTCAAAACTGATTTTACATATGTTCAATATTAGTACAAGATATTATGTAGCCTTCAAAATCACTAAAATCCAGGCTGGAGAGATGCCTTGGTGGTTAAGGGCACCAGCAGACTTCCTGAGAGAATTTCCAGCACACACGTGACCACTAACTGGAGTTTGTAACTTCAGTCCCAAGGGATCCGCCCTCCTGGCCTCTTCAGGCAACAGGCATGCGCTGGATATTCTATATATCAAAACAAATAAAAGCTTAAAATCGTTTCGAAAGAAAAAAAACATACTAAAATCAGTGCTAACCACCGAGGACGTTTAAACGGAAGGCTCCGAAGGAGTGGGGGTGGAGGAGAACAGGGGCAGCGACCATTTAAGTGGTGTTTAAATACTGAGAGATGCTAAAATCAGAACTTCCCAAAGCTTCCCAGGAAGGGCCAAATGGCAAGCATTTTGACCGCATGGACCAAACCCTCCCGCCAACAGCTACTAGTCCATCCTATAGTGTGAACGCAGACACTATATAGGAGTGGATCAACCCGCTGTGTCAGTGAAATTTACACTCAGGCATTGTAATTTGCCCACTGATTATATTGCCTCTTCACGAAAAAGAAAAAATAATGTCATCTTTAACTGGCAATGACCCCAAAATTATTTTTATTTCTTTGGAACACATGAAAAGCTGCTTATACAGCTCAATACAGATTCCCCCCCCCTCCAAATAAAAGGGTACACACTCATTTTGGAATGGGAAAGATCTGGCCACCCAACTCCAAGGCCTTTTTCCTGATCTTGGGTTGAATTCCCTTTCTTCTGTTTCGGCCTCCCTTGCCCCTAGGTCACAATATTTCCAATTTGACTTTACTACTAAAAAGTTATTTTAAATATAATAAAAATGTGACGTAGAACATCTAAAGAAATGCGAATTGTGTAAATTCCAACAGGAAACGGACTCTTTCTGCTAAACTCGGAGGGCCACGCATATTCAGTATCCCTTAAGTGCTAAGAAACGCAGTAGGGTTTCCAGATAAAATACAGGCTAAATCAGAATTTCAGGTAAGCAATAGGTGATCTTCAAATTCTCACAAAGGATTCATTTGCTTAGATCACCTGACAGCGGGGGTGGGGGAGACTTCTTAATCGTTGCAGGCAGCCTTGCCAGACTGTAGAGCCCTGGCCCAGAGATTAGGATGGCCCCGGTGCCTGACACTCCTCTCTAGATGCTGTCCCAGTCACAGAAGTGCCTGCTCCTACTTTCTTTGCGTCAGCCTTTGGGTAAACCTTTTTCTCAGGTTGTCCTCTGAGGACCTGCTTCCGCTGGCTTCCTTTACCTGGTAACAAAACCCTGCCCGGTAGCTGGATGTTAAGACCGGGGCTGGACAGCCTCGGAAGTGCCAGCCGTGCGCCGCCGTGTTTAGTTAACATTTTACTGCGCCTCCTTAACCTTGGAACAGGTCCAATTCTGTTTCTATTGAGCCACAGAAGAATCAAGATTGATCTGCCGCAAATGACAAAAAAGATCTTGTTTTTGCGGGCAAGGGCTCTTCATAAATTTGTTTTCAGTCACAAGAGGAGGAGGGAGGGACTGAGACAACGCCAAAGATGCTGCCAACGCTAGGTGGGGAAGGCAACGCAGTCGGTCCCATTGGTGGGGGCTTATCTTCCCTGAGATCTCAGTTTTAAGGAATGAGGAGTGAGGCAGGGTGAAACCTCAAACCCCGCGCCCAGCTAGTGACCTTTTAGCCACACGCCCCTTTTCAAAGGAGAAAAGCGCAAGGACTGACCCATCCCTCCTGGAGGCTTTACCTGGTGAAAAGGATGAGCAACCAGAGCAGCGCGGTGGAGAGGGTGTCCTGGCTGGCTCCGAAGATGTCCGTAATAGTGGCCGGCACGTTCTCCAAGTCCAGCCCGAAGGGACCGTCGCCAGGTCCCCCGGCCTCCTTCTTTTCTGCGGAGAGGATGAAGGCGTCCATCATGTCACGGGGAGCAGCTCCGGGTACCAGGCTTTCGCGGTGCCTGAAGAACTTGTCCAGGACAAAATTGGTGAAGTTGCGGTTGAGCTGTTCGAACTCTCGGAAGGTGGTGCGCACCGGGTTAGGGAAGAGCTGCAGCCAGGGCAGCACGTCCACCAGGCTGCCCGCGCCCACCGTGCGCCCGAACTCTTCGTTATGGCTGAGCAGCTCGAGGAACTCGGCATCGTCGTGGTTGTAGCGGCAGCCGAAGCACACGGCGCTCATGACATTGGCCACGGCCACGATGATCGGTTGCGTCGGATCCAGGACGGCACCGCCTGAGCAGCGTCGCACCAGCACCGCGACCAACTCTCGCGCCTCGCACAGCGCGTGGCCCTCAAGGAGGCGGCGGCTGCGCGGGTGGCGCGTGGAGAAGGCGCGCATCGTGCCATAGGCCGCACGTCGCTGCGCCTTCCAGCGCTCGCAGTAGGGGCCGAACGCCAGGCTGCGGCCGCCAGACACCACGCGGAAAGAGGCGAAGGGCGGCCGGTCTGCGAAGATGCTGCTCTGCTGCACCAGGGCTTCGTGGATGGCATTCTCGCCATTCAGCACCACCACGGGACAGCTGCCCAGACGGATCTGGAAAATGTCACCATAGCGCCTCGCAAGGCGAGCGAAGTATAGGTGCGACGCCCGGCCCACAGACGCCGCGTTTCCGATCAGTGGCCATGGGAAAGGACCCGGGGGCGAGGACCACGGTTTCCGCCGCCACTGTCGCAGCAGCCACTGTCCCAAGTGCACGGCGGCCAGGACAGAGAGAAGAAGCAGAAGTGTGGTCTGCTGGGTAGACAGCGGGCTCAGCTGCTGCGGGCTGTCTGCGCTAAGGCTGGTGGCCATGCTGGGGACACAAAGGCAAAACGTGACACTCAGATGTGGAGAGAGAGAGAGAGAGAGAGAGAGAGAGAGAGAGAGAGAGAGAGAGAGAGAGAGAGAGAGAGAGAGAGAGAGAGAGAGAGAGAGAGAGAGAGAGAGAGAGAGAGAGAGAGAGAGAGAGAGAATGGGTCCCAGCATCAGCATGGGACTATAGGACCCTGTTGAATAGAGAGGAGGCGGTGCCTACCTCGGTCAAGGATGGCTTTCTGGACAAGATGCTTAAGATACCCTTCCATGCCCAACCCAGCCTCCAGCAGAAACACGCCAGCTTCTGAATCCCCAGCTGCCTAACGGTTCCCGGAATTCCGACACAAGGTCAGTGCCAGACACAGAGGCAGGTTTCTTTTAAAGTGCCTAACACCCCGGACCCCTGACTTTCAAGAACTGGTCTAAAGAGGCCCCAGGAAGGTGGCTCCGCGTACAGACTGACCTGCAACGAAGCGTGGTTTTCCAGCGGTGCAGAACAACCGGCTCTGGGAGAAGCCCTGAAGCCTCTGCCCACGGCAAGACTTCAACCTGAGAGTCCCCCAGGGACCTGGAGGCCCGCCCTAGACACCTGATGCCCGCTGCTTTAGCACCCACTCTTGGCTCAGTTAGAACCTAAACTTGGATTGGGTTGGAGGAAAGGAAGGAAAAAGTGTCTCAAGTTTGCCGAGCTCCACTGCACCTGGGGCTCTGCAAAGTCGGGGCTTTCTCACGGAGTTGGAGCTGCGCTTGAGATGGGCGGGGGTTAGGAGTTGGTAAACTGGAGTCAAATTCTAGGCTGAGGGAGACTTTCAAGCTGGCATCGCAGAGGTATCTGCAACGCACCGCAGAGGTGGCACGCGCCATCCCTCTACCCGGGGTTTTAAGGGCTGGGTAGAGAGGAAACGGGACCCTGAGGGGTGGGGCGTGAGGGGCGGGGCGCGCCGTGAAAGTCTGGGACTTGGACTCGGATTCTCAGGTCTCATGTCCACGCTGAGGGTGACCCAAGGATGGTTCAATGGGAAGTCCGCTCCGCGTGCTCGGACCGTTCTTAAAATGTAGCTGGCAGTTTCGTTGGAAGCCTCCTTGAAAAGTTTTCCCGTGGCGATAAGGGCTTGTCATCAGTTATCCCCCAGTCAAGACCCCACGATTTCCCCAGAACCGAGCTTGGGACAGAATTTCCCACGCTTCTGCGCGCTTGAGCAGAAAGCACCCAAGAGCACGCCCTCCTTCTCCAGGTGACTCGAGCTTGGTGCCTTGCTCATGGTCCTTAGGCACCAAGCCAGAAAAGGAAACTTGTCATTTTTTAGGTACGGGGTAGCTTGATTTGAGACGGTTTGCCTGGCATTTATTTTTATCTGAAGGTTTTGCAAACCATTTGGCCCTACAGTCGTGGCCCTTTGTGTGCACAGATCTCTTTCCACCTCTGCTGGCGAGATCAGGAAACCCTGAAAGCGGCTGCCCTACCGCTCCAGGCGCGGACCACCCTTCGGCGGCACACAAAGCACAGCAGGTCTGGAGGGTTCCCGCTTTGAAAAGATAAGGGCCACGCCACCTGCTGGACGCGCTCTGGTCGCACTCAGGCTCTGAGCCAAGCTTGAGGCAGTTCTGGAGTGTGAGACCTAAGAGGGGGCGGTGAGTGGGAGGAGGAGGCAGCTCTGGAAGCCTGCGAACGTTCGGGTTGAAAAGTTTCTGCTGTCACCTCCCCCTTGCGTGCGGAGCTGTGCCTTGCGTGCGCCGCTTCTGGGAAATAGGGCTCCAGTCATCTCCCTGGGCGCTGCTCGCGGCCGCCCCTCCCGCGCTTCTCACGCCACCTGACACGCCGAGGCGGCGGCCAAGGGCGGGGTGCCTGCCGCCACCACCCTTGGCGACGCACGCACAGCTGCGCCCGCAGGGCCTGCCTGAAGGATGCTCCATCGCAGCTGGCTTCTCGACCCTCGTTCCCGCAGCCTGGTTCCCAAAAGCGTGGCTGCGGACCATGGGGACGCTTCCCAGGGTGACTCAAGGTCCTGGAAGCAGTTGCTCCTGTTCCTACCGGTTAAGGCATAGAATCATACTTTCAAAACACCTGTGAGAACAAGGTTTCTGCCAGGCTCTGGAAAGGGCTAGCCATAGAAGAGATAGATTGCTTCTCGTTAATCAAGCAGGAATTGTAGCTCCAGGCTATTGGTGTGATCCCGGGACAACCCACTCCCAATGTTGTGTTATTGTCTCTTTTACAAAAACAGATTCAGAGAGATTATGGGACTTAAGTCACACAGTTCTCTAGAGGTGGAGACAAGATTTGAACTCCCAAAGTCCCACTCCAAATTCCTCATACAGGTTTATATGGAGTAAAAGCATACTTAAGAGGCCCAAAGTTGTCTTTCTTGCTAAAAAATAAATAATATATATCATATATAATTTATATAATATATAGATAGATAGTTTTTTAATCAGCCAAGAGCTAGCCAGAGGCTCAACAGCTGAGCGCTCTGACCAACAAGCCTGCCCACCTGAACTGGATGCCTGGCTCCCACAAGGTACGAGGAGAGAACCAACGTAAACAAGTGATCCTCAGACTTCCCCATCTGTGCCAGAACACACAGACACACACATAATAAATGCAATACCTTTTCAATCAGATGGAAGAATCTGATGCTCTTTGTTCATGGCCGAGGGTTGAAAGACTCACAAAGAAAAGGTATGCTTACTACACTTAAATTGGCATTTATGAGGAAGGCCAGTGGGAGGTGCCTCACAGCTGAGCTGGGATAACTGAGTACATTCTAAAGAAACGTAACGAAGGTGTCTGAAAAAGTGTCTAACATCTGTGAATGAAATGCCTGGCCTGCTAAGAAAATGCCTTTTTTATAAGTGTTTTCGGTAACTTCTGCTGTTTTCTGAGTGGGATTTTATATACTCCACCGTCGAGTACTCAGACCAGAAGTTGGCCTGGAGGGCAAGAGCATTAGTTTAATAATAAGCCTTGGTTTCTCAGAGCTGCACTACTCCAACGTGTCTGTCTTAGTTTGTTTTTCTCATGTTGTAACAAAAGGCTCGAGACTGGCCCATTTACAGAGGAAAATAGGTTTATTTGGGATCACAGTTCAGTTAACAGGAACGCCAGCTTTCCAAGAACATTATCCCAGCTCCTGAGAAGAGGGAGAAGTAAGGGGCAGCCATGGCCACAGTCCCTTAGAGCAGAACATACCCAGGAAAGGCCACAAGGCAGCATGTTCTTGGCTCCCAGTGTCTAGGAGTTCCCACTAGGCACCAGCACTACGCTGAGGAATTAAAGGGGCACACATGCACTCTTTGGAGACATGTGCAAACCACACTTCCAAAGGAGGTGTGTGGCAACTTTTGATCCAGCTTTGCAGGACCCTGACTAGTGACCTGGGACTCGGCTCCCACCAAAGCACTAGGTTAGGAGATAAGAATCTACAACCGGCTGGCGTACATTCCGAGCGCATCTCACAGCATCTCTGCCAGAATTAGAGAAGGTGGAAGCTGCCTTCAAGCCAAGTCACTGCTGCTTTAAAATATTAAGCAAGGCTAGAACTCCTATTTAACAAATGCTGGGTAGCTTTTAGATCACCGTGTGCACGCCTGCCTGCCACAGCAAAATGTCCTTGGGCACAGCTCCTGTGCTAGGACAGGGTCTCAAAAAGTAGAGTAACCAGTTGGACCAATGCCATGGGGGGAGACAGACTCTTAACAAAGAAGACATAGACACTGGCGTTACTGGCCATAGTGCACCGTCATCAGGTCTCAGTCTCTTCCAGGCTTTTTTTTTTTTTTTTTTAGTACAAATGTCACCAAAGGGGCTGACTTAGTCCTCAATTAAAACTTTAGCATAAATGTAGATAGGTAGATAGATAGATCGATCCAAAGCACTGATATTTATTCCTGATCCATCTCAAAATGGGGTTCTGTTCTCTCTTAGCCAATCATCCCTGTTGGGGCTTTGGGATAACCATCAGAATTTCTCAGCCAACCTATGGATCCTAGCTTAGAAATCCCCTCTCAGTCAACAAAACAGAAAGGGTGAAGGATGTTGCCCTCTGAAATCCCAAACTTGATTTTTTTTCTTTTTGTTTTTTTTTTCTTTCCTGCAACTAACTTTCAGAAAGAGCAGTTAAGTTAGAGAATAGTTTAAAGTGGGGGTTTTAAAATGCTTTATAGTGTATTGACTCCAAGACCCAGCTGAAGTTTACACAGGACTAAAATGCACCAGCTCAGAGGATTAGTTAAGACAGCTCACAGCATGGACGGACCCAGGCTCTTCCTGGCCTCTACTTCTGCTGACTTTCCTTCTTCTGCTTCCTTCACATGCTGGGCGGGGAAGCTGGCCACAGGCAGCCTTCCATTGGAAACCCTGAGAGAAGAAAAGCATCTCTTCCAAGGTCCTAGAAGGACTCTGAAAGGCCAGGCTGGTATTTGGGTTTCACACTATAGTTAAGAACTTGTTTCATAATCAGAAAAAGAAAGATGGGCGAAACAGCAGGAAGATAAGGAGCCACCACAATCCACCCCATCTTTCCATCCATGCACAGAATCCTGACTCTGTTCTCAGAATCCTTCTCACATCTCCCATTCAAGGTTCCAAGACATAGACACACACAGCAGTTGGTGCAGTGACCCTGTAGCTGCCTGTACCAGCAACAGCCTCCCCAGCCACTTCACTTCCTCCTTTTTTCTTGGCTGCCTTCCTTTAGGGCCTTTTTTCTTTCCCTTTGTTCTTGCATTCTCATTTCCCCTTTCCCTGGGTCCATTTCCAGCTTCCGTGTCTCCTTTCCTCTAAGGCAAACTTTTCTCCAATTTTCCTACCTTGCAGTTCTATCTATCTGTAACTCTATCTCCCTTTCGCCCTCCCTCCCTCCTTCCTCCCCTCCCTTCTTCCCTCCCTCCCTCCTTCCCTTCCTTCCTTTCCCCTTCTCTTCTTTCTTCCTTTCCCCCTCCATTTGAAGGGTGGCAGCCAGAGCCTTGTACATGACATACAAGTGTCCTATCACTGAGCTACATACACCCTGACCTCTCTGCCCACCCCACACCCCATACAAACCCATGCCCACATACTTCCTACTTTCTTTAAATCCTTTTCTTTCTCATGGAAGAGTAAAGAGCAGACCAGGATGGGGGCAGAAAAGTAGAAACAAAGAAAATAAGAGGAGGAGTAGGGGAAAGAGAGACTAAGAAAAAAGAAAGGGAGCAGAATGCAAACTAGTCGGTCTAAATATTAAACTTAGTGATCATTTCTTCTAGTGTTCCAGCCGTTGACTAGAACAACTGGGCACAGCAATGGGGCCATGGGAAGGAAAAGAATGCCACGGTCTATGGTTGATTTTGTGCATCTATCCTCTGGGGTGCTGCCACAGCCTGGTCCAGTTCTGAAATATGCCTTTCAGACAAGAGCAGGGGATAAAGGCCCTGTTCCCCTGATCCTTTGACCTCACATGAAACTCTGTAGACAAATGGGGTATATTGTTTTTCATTTTCCTTTTCTAAATTTAAGTGCTTACTAGGTTACTAAGAAAATATATATTTCGACAAAGTTCCCATTTAAAGAAAAGACAGAATTACACTTGACTCCGGGAAAGCGAACAGCAGATCCCAGCTTCAGGGCCAGGCTTTTATTTTTGTTCCTTTAGCCTCTTAATTTTAGTCTTATATCTGTCTTTTTTTCTCCCAAGTTTCCTTCTTTTACCATAATGAGATAAAAATTCAGGCTTGAAAAAAGAAGTTGTACTCATGCCCAAGGTTTGAAAAAAAATAATTGGTAGTTAAATAACCTAAGTGGCTGTTTTTCCTTCGTAATCCCCGAGAGAACATAAGAGCTGGGTAATTACACGTTAGCGTTTTCTGGCCTTGACCTCAATGGAATTCACCCCTTCTGCTAGTAAAGATGCTACGGCCTTTCCATTTTTTTAGTGAGAAAGTTCTGGATACCAAGAGGCTCTTTTCAGAAGCAAGAGAGTTCCAGAATGAACTTTATTATAGTATATTACACCTTGAGCTACTCTTTGACATCCATTTGAACGAACATACCTTTCAAGTGGCATGCCTGAGGAGAGCCACCATGTTGCCTCTGAACCATTCTCCCATCACTTACACAATGTCCTGGTCCCTTAGTCAACATTTGAATAACCTGGTTTCAAGCATTGTGTCCAGTGTCTGGGCCTCCTGGACAATGTGAGTTTTTAATGTTCCTGTTGAAGCAGATGCTGGGAACTGAGCACATCCCAGGTCTGCTGTGCTGTCCTTTCTAAGTGCCTCCAGTTAGAATAGTTAAACTTGGCGGAGATGGAGAAGCACCCTCACCTTGTGAGACTGCACCTGAGAGCTGGCGCAGCCTTGAATTGCCCATTTTTCGACCAATGTTTTATTTTTCTCAATATGAACTTTACATTTAGTCTTCCCAGACACATCTTACAGCTTGAGGATAATTTTCTAGCCCTGGAGGCCATGTTGATACTCTTGGGGTTTTTAGTTTTGTTTTGCTCTGCTTGGTTTTTTAAGCGTGTACTATTTTTATTTGTTCTTTAAGAAATTCATACACGGTTACAATGTATTTTTATCATCTACAGCCCCCAACTCCATTCCTCCAACTCCGCCTGAAATCCTTCACAATACCTTCCCAACTTTCTCTCTATCTCTCTCTCCCTCCCTCCCTCCCTCCTTCCCTCCCTCCCTCCCTCCCTCTTTCCCTTCCTTCCCTCCCTTCCTCTCTCCCTCTCTCTGAATAACCCACTGAGGCCAATTAGTGCTGTCTGGTTGTGCATGATTACGGAGCCATCCACAGGAGCATGGGCAGCGTACTAAGGGCCACTCTCCTGAAGAATACTGGCTGCTCATCCTAAAGGGGTCATAGGCTACCAATAGCTGCTCAGTTTGAGCTTGGACATCAAGAGTCCCCCACTCACTGCATCCCCTACCTCACCCAATGCAGCCTGAAGCAAGGAGCTGGGCCAGTTGTCCCACCCTCAGGTTTCCAGATCCAGGTCACCCACACTCCACACGTCACCACGGCCAGCTCTACCTTTTGGCCCAGGTGGGTTGCAGGACCACTCTCCTGCGGGCTGCAGCTGGAGACAAGCAGAGCTAGTTCTCTCACTCTTGTGAGAACTTTCCAACCAGTGCTTTAGCCTGCCACAGGAAACAAGGGGAAAAGGGGGAGGGCATCATCCCCTTATCTGTGCCCAAGTGGAGAGGTCAGCTCTGTTGCTCTCATGCCCCCAGAGCTGGCTCACCCATGTCCCCAACAGCAAGGTCAGTTCTAGTGTACAGTCCAGATGTTCAGATGGACACAGAGGCCACTGTCTTGTGGGCTACAGCTAGTTAGGCTCAGGGCCAGCTCTCTCACTCTTGTGA